TTATCTGAATACTGAGATTTATACATATCAGAAAATCAACGACAGAGATGTTTTACTTTATTGATCTCCTGCCAGTCTTCAATGCTTTTGTCTCTCTCCTTCTGCACAGACAACAGCTGGTCAGAGGCTTCTTGTTGAGCCGCTTTACTTGCCTGTCAGAAAAAAAATGATTTTCAAGATTTAAAATAAGATTTTTTTCATTTTTCAGGGAATGTTTCTAACCTTAAATATATCAAAATACCACCTGATGTGTAAAAGTGTAGCTGTATTCTAATCTCTCTATCTCTCTCTTTCTTTCTCACCTGTAGCTGTACTTTGAGATCATCCTGGGCCTGTGTAAGACCCAGTAGTTGCTGTTGGAGTTGTGATATCTGTTGGTGTAATTTCTCTGTCTGTTCCTTCACGTGTTGGTTTTCAACAATGTTAGCAGCACTGACCTGTTTCAGTTCACAAAAATATATAAAATAAGAAGACATATACTATAAGATAATTTTATAAATCAATTTATATATTGCATTTAGAATTAGAGAGGATTATTTTCATATTTCAATTAAAAGGCAGTAATATTAATGTACAAAGACTTAAATTACAATGTATCAGAAAAATTAGAATTGGAATAAACAGCTCTGTCCAGACCTGTTGTTGGAGTGAGGTTATGGTTTGTTCTGACTCAGTTTTCTGTTTACTAGCTTGGTCTTCTAACTCTTGGTAAGACTAAACAATAAACAGAATATTTTAACAAGTGAAAACTTATAAACTACAAGGATGATTATTAAAAAAGGTTGGAATTATATGAAAGAACTTTTTCACAATACATACTGTATTCTCAAATGCATCAGGCAAAAAACATAAATTTTTAGCTTCTCAGAAATTTCAGTATAATTTCATACTTTAAAAATTATTACTCACTGAAAGGAGAATAACTTATTTTTCATAAAAAAATTCTCATTTTTCAACCATGCTTAAATATGTTTTTCTCTGATACATACTCAGAGTTGTCCCAAAAACATGGGGACCAGGGAATTTCCCCACCTATAATGACAAAATGGTTATTCTGATATTCCACTAATCCCCCTGTAAGAGGAGAAATGCTGAAGACCCGGCCCTTTAACTTTTTTAATGTCTTATGTTAGGCTATATCAATTCTTCGGGACAAATCTGAATCATAACTTTAAAAAAAAAAATTATAACTAGATTTTCTATATTTTTTTTAAAATTAAACAATAATCAATTTTGCATATGATGTAAGTAATAAAAATTTAACAATTAAAAAGTGCCATTATCTGTTGATAAGACAACTCTTGCTTCAACAAGTCTAAATATCACTGAAAATTCATCATTCTAATACTTGTTTGACATGTACCTGTATATGTGAATAAATTCATTTTGTGACATGGTAAAAATAAATTAAGTATTCATCTTTTTTAATGAATATTACTAGCATATTTATATCTAACTAATTTAATTGTATACAAGGGTTGTCCCGTAAAATCGTGGACAAGTTGTCTAGTGTGAAAAATAAACATCACTGCGTTCTGAAATTTTCACTATTATTTAGTACATATTTTAGTAGATACACAGCAAATTTCAGATAAATATATGCATAAAAAAACAAATTATGAGATTTTATGCGATGTATTGTATCATCTTACGGCGCATTGATTATAACGTCAAAGTGTCTAAAACAGCATCACGTTATATCTTTGCTGAAAATGAAGTTGGATGAGTCCGACTTAAATCTAGGAATTTCATCGATACACATTCTTTAGTCTCCATAAACAGCCGAAGAACCAACTGGCACCCACATGCGATCTTCTGAAGATTTATTAGTAAGTTACGGACAATATTCTCACCATCATTTAACTTATAGAAAATCTCATATCGGCGGTCTACTGTGACAGCATCTTTTGCTATTACATTAGGGGTTTGTCCGTATGTTTTGTACTCCCCAGGGACTTGATCAAAAAAAACTTCGCTAAGAAAACCTCTATTTCATTTGTATACTTAAGATATGGTGATATTTTATAATCTTTTTTCTTCTATGGTCATTTCAAGTCTCTAAAGGTGTCATTACAACATCAAAATAAAACTGAACTGTTCTCCGGTGCGCCATAACGTCATAAAACGTTGCCAATTTTTCGTGTGTTGTGTTAACCACTTTCCTATTTCGAATGCTCGAGAAACTGCCAAAAATTAAGCAAATGCCTTAAAATTTTTACAAAGACTACGAAATTGATTGTGGAATTGAATTAGGATAACTTTAATCTAAATCTTATGTATTTAAAACTTTTATTTTGAATTCAAACTTGTATATTCTTTAATAAAACCTTGGTTTTTTGACCGTGCGCCGTAGAACAATACCTCGTGCATATTCAAGCATAATAAAATCTTTATTTTTGCCTATGTTTTATCAAAACAAGAGGCCCACGGGCCTTATAGGTCACCTGAGTTTCATGTAACAACTTTCCAACAATTGAATTTGGTTTGTGTTTTAAATCAGAGGCCATGAAATTCACAATTTTGCAAAGAGGCACTACTGCTTATCATAATTATACACTTAGCAATGCTTACTAGATAGTCACTTAACACCCATAAGTAGATCAGAGTAACTAATAGAAAAATGCACTTCCATTCTAAACCATGCAATTGTGCACCCCATCCCACAGAAACCATAGACCCTGGGGCCACATATTTCAAAATTTTATCATCATAAATGTTATTTCATCAAATATGGTTGATTAATACTAATGAGTAAATTTCAAAGCATTCATTTATTTTCAGACTATGTACCCCCCCCCCCCGATACCCCTTACCCAGGGGGGGGGGGCATGAAATTAACCATTTTGCTAGATGCACCTTTCCTCATCATAAATATATATATATACTTAGATCATTGGCATAATACCCAGGAGCAAAGGAAAAGATTTTCAAAGAATTTATGTAATGTAGAGCCTCCCTCTCCTTACACCAAATAGCTAAACCCCTGACATAGGGGCCATAAAATTAACATATTTGGAAGAGGCACTCTTGCTCATAATAACTATGTACTTAGTTAGTTTATTTAATACTAATATTTAAGGATCAGAGGAGAATTTAAAAAAAAAATAATGCATCTTCACTGAATAATCTATATAGCCCCGCCCTCGCACTAGAACCCCTGACCCTGGGGCCAAGAAATTCACAAATTTGGAAGAGGCACTCTTGCTCATCATAACTATGTACTTAGTTAGTTTATTTAATACAACAGAGCAGAGAAGAAGATTTTCAGAGATTCAATGCATTTTCACTATATAATCAATAGAGCCCCGCCCTAACACCAGAACCCCTGACCCTGGGGCCATGAAATTCACAAATTTGAAAGAGGCACTCTAGTTCCTCATAACTATGTACTTAGTTAGTTTATTTAATACCCCAGAGCAGAGAAGAAGATTTTCAGAGATTCAATGCATTTTCACTATATAATCAATAGAGCCCCGCCCTAACACCAGAACCCCTGACCCTGGGGCCATGAAATTCACAAATTTGAAAGAGGCACTCTTGCTCATCATAACTATGTACTTTAGTTTATTTACTACCCAAGAGCAGAGAAGAAGATTTTCAGAGATTCAATGCATTTTCACTATATAATCAATAGAGCCCCGCCCTAACACCAGAACCCCTGAACCTGGGGCCATGAAATTCACAAATTTGAAAGAGGCACTCTTGCTCATCATAACTATGTACTTAGTTAGTTTATTTAATACCCCAGAGCAGAGAAGAAGATTTTCAGAGATTCAATGCATTTTCACTATATAATCAATAGAGCCCCGCCCTAACACCAGAACCCCTGACCCTGGGGCCAAGAAATTCACAAATTTGAAAGAGGCACTCTTGCTCATCATAACTATGTACTTAGTTCGTTTATTTAATACCCCAGAGCAGAGAAGAAGATTTTCAGAGATTCAATGCATTTTCACTATATAATCAATAGAGCCCCGCCCTAACACCAGAACCCCTGACCCTGGGGCCAAGAAATTCACAATTTTGGAAGAGGCATTCTTTCTCATCATAACTATGTACTTAGTTAGTCTATTTAATACCCAGGAGCAGAGAAGAAGATTTTTAAGGAAATAATGCATTTTCACTATATAACCTATTTAGCCCCACCCTAGCACTAGAACCCCTGACCCTGGGGCCATGAATTTCACAATTTTGGTAGAGGACTCAATGCTTATTACATTTATGTCAACAGTTAGCCTGCTTGATGTCCAGGAGTAAAGAAGAAGATTTTTAAAGATTGCACTAATTTTAGTGGTTTTGGCCCCACCCCTCAGGCCCCAGGGGGGCGGGGACCATGAAATTCACAATTTTTGTTCCCCTTTACCCATAGATACTGTATACCAAATTTGGTTGAAATTGGTTTAGTGGTTTCAGAGAAGAAGTTGAAAATGTTCAAATGTTAACACACGACACACGACGGACGACGACGGACGAAAACGGATAGCAATAGGTCACCTGAGTGACTCAGGTGACCTAAAAATTATCATGCACTTAAATATGATAAATAAACATTTACTGAAATTTTCAGCTTAGTGCGCCCATTACTTTTCGAGAAAAATGCTTTGTCCACGATTTTACGGGACAACCCTCGTAAATTCCAACTTCACTGGCACATTAATTGCCATGTCTACGAAACTGCTCATAAAACGTCTGTACCTTATTTTGATTAAAATTCGACCCCTGAAATATATTAATCACTTACACAAATTGAAAGAAATATGGCAATGAAATTACATGAATAAGAGTAAAAGAAAATATTAGAATGAACAAGTGATTGTAACATAGCATCTTAGATTGTAAGTCACCAACTTAAAAAGTAAAGCAACTGAATTAATGATCTAGGGGTGACAAAAAATCTCCACTTCTGCTATAATTCAATTCTCATGTAAATTTTTTTCATGTTAAAAATTTGGTTTTTTGTATGACAAGTATTCAGAAAGTGAACAGGACTTCTCCTTTAGCTTGTTTGTTGTTCAAATCAGATATACTGAATAAAATTTTATGGATATTATAAGTACTGTAAACGTATTACATTTGGCAGTGTATTGTTTTTAGTGCTTTTGGCATAAAGATACTTCTGCTAAATCAAGTACATTGTTAAATGTCACATTGATACATGAAAAAGAACAAGAAATGCGCAAAATCAAATCTATGCTAACTTGTTTAAAAATCATTTTCCACTAAACATAATACATGTATAGTGGGATATTTTTTGTGGAGCGATTATTTTGAGGTTTTAACGATTTTTCCTATTGTACTTATGATGAATAAGTATAATAAATATTATTTGTGAAAAAGATGTCCAAGAAGCCCCAGGTTGAATATTTAGGGGTGGGGTCCTATCCACAGGTACCTGTGATCTGACTAATTTCGGAGTTCTCTCATGACAGATAGAGAATATTTAATTCAGTATAATTACCTTTTTGCCCTTCTCTAACTCCTGCTGTAGCTTACTGATCTGGTCTGTGTAATATTTCTGGTCCCTGTCCCGACCACCCTGAACATCCTCTAACTTTTTACTACATTTTGGGAAAAAAATAATTTTAAAAAATGTATTTTTTTCAGCTTTTCTTGCCTTATATTCAAGATACTATAAAGTAAAAAATTCTACAGAGAGAAAAAAATTATTTCGCATTCAGAAATATACTACTAATTCTTAAAATTAAATAAACATCTTTTTTTCAATCATATATAGTTTTCATACTTTAAAACTTTTAAAATTAGTTTGCAATTCTTACCTCAACTCGGTAAACACACTTTCTTTTTCTGCATGTAACTGTAAATAACTAAAATGTAAATAAAGTAATTCTCATTACAAAATATTTGAAGCCTTACAGTGCATGAAAGTGGCAAATTTTCCAGTATCTTTATGTAGCTCTGTTTTCTGAATAAGATAAAACAGAGTTACCTCTCCTGACACAAAAGAAGATATTTTTAAAGCTATATATGCCGTATTAGTGTTTTATTTTAAAAGTAATAAATATATGTGGTGTCTCATCAAGTTATATAAGTTATATACTTTCTGCAAATAAGACAATTCCACTCCATCACCTTTAAAAGTTATGAAATATTATTTGGTAAAAATTATTTTCTCTCCGTGTCGGATAAAAAACCGCCTCTTATTGAAATATTCATGATCACGTTGTCTCGCATGTTTACAGCAAACAATGGTCCAATCTCGTGAATGAACCGAAAAGCATGATGGTCTACTACGTTTTTACTACAAACACGTGAGTTAGGGATTGTCAATATTGAGAGCACCTAAGAGTTGGTTGCTTTTTGTACCGAGGAATAATCACGTGCAATTGTCTTTTCAATGGACATTTTCGGTTGGGTGAACTTCTACAGCTGTCAGCGACTATGGATAAAGAAGTGTGGAAACCATGTTGTGCCAAAATGAAATAACCAATACAAACAAATGATATAATTTGATCAATCAAAATGGTTATTAGATACATTCGATTCTGCATTTCTTAATGGTTCAAAACAACAAAAAGTATTCCACAGAATATCATGTATAAATCTGCACAATATACCGAATGCCAAAACCAGAATACTACTAAATAATATAATTATATTCTTTACATATGAACCACAGTATTTTGACCCCTTGAAAATAATATAAAAAATCTTGCAAGTAGGTTACCAGCATTGGCTCGAGCTAATTCGAAAGTGAAATTTGGAGTTTGGCAGTACAGGCAAGTAGCATCGCTTTTGAAAGTGGGGGGGCCAACCTGGGAAAATTTTGTTTACTTACCTAAAAAAAAAGTTGACAAGCCAAAAAAAAAAAAAAAAAAGGATAGTCAACAATTGCCCAAACTCGAAAATCCTATTTCGTGGGGGAGGGGGGGGGAGGGTAGTGGCCAACTTTTTTCAAGGCCAACTTCCTTTAACTACCAATTTTTCCTATATTTCCTTGGTATAAATATACTGTGGTAAAATGTGGGGGGGGGGGGGGCAACCATCTTTTCCATGAATATTTTCTATAGTAAAGGTAATGTTGGGGAAAAAAAGTGGGGGGGGGGGGGAAGGTGTTGCTACGTGCCTGCAGTAAATTGTAGTGAGTGAATAAAATTTAGTACTGATAGATATTGGAACCTATTTTACTTGTCAGATTTCTTCGAGCTAGTTGATTTTTTTCTAACTGTTCTATCCCCCCACCCACTTAAAAAAAAAACCGATGCTACCTACCTGAATTAATTTTTCTTAATGGTGTTCATCGAAATGCTTGGTTGTGCCCTCAAACTGGAATAGTTTTTAGAGGCCTGGAATTCCTTGACCAATTTTATTTTATTAGCCCAACTATATTTCTAAGAAGGCAAGATGTATGGTATGTAAGTTTCATCTACATATGTTATGTAGTTCATATTAAAAAAACAAAAGGGATTATTGACGTAATCCAATTCAGGGTGTAAACATAGTAGTTTAAATTACTTTCCATACATTGTACTTGACATAAAATATCTTTTGCGCATAATGCGCTCCATACTGAAGATCCGTAAATGTTCACCCAACCGAAAATGTCCACTAGCAGTACAGCACGGGGAAACTCTAAACAAACGGACCTGTACAATGGAGTGGGGAAAACTTTAATTTTCATCATTGTTAATCATTTGTATGCAAATATGAGCATGGGATTAGTTGATAATAATGTACATAATGCATCAAGTCTTTCTGAGAGCGATTTAAAAAACTAGCCTTTCTGAAAAACACATGTAGTGTTTTATGTAGTAACCCATAAATGCAACTCATTGAGCTGATTGGTCTATTTGTGTCCCTCACTGAACAGACGTCACAAAAAAATATTTTCCTCGACCTGATGATTCTCGCGATGCTTTTCCCACGCACATGCGCAGATCCAGGATAAACGTCAGTCCTTTATAAATATGCATGAGAATATCGTGTTCTTTTCCTGATCAGTACTTTGTTAATACCGAATAAAATTTCGTCGAATTTGCAAGAATGCTTCATTTTTGGTAGCTTATCATATTCCAGAAATTTTTGTTCGGTTTCAGCTGTGCAAAAATACTGTTTAACATGGCATACATATCTTTAAATTTTTTATACAATATTTACAGTTACCTTTCCTGTTTCTTCTTCAGTTTGTCTGCACTTTTCTCCACCTCTTCCTGTAGATTTTGGATTTTTTCTTTTGATGATTTCTAAATATTTAGATAAAACCATAAAGTCTAAAGACAGGAAATTCTTTCCACCATTTTCATGAAATGATGTACATAATTTGTTTGAGCAACCTCAGACCTTTATCATAATGTTTTAAACTGGTACACTATAAGTCTATAGTACAGTAAGCCTTTACCTCTAAGGCAGATAACTGCTCCTGTAGAAGTTTATTTTCTTCTTTTTCTGTCGCCAGACTCAGACTTAGTTCTAGAAATTTTAAGAGTTGTTTTCACAAATCAAAATCAAAAAGAAACTATATATATTTAAATTTAAGTTAATTTTTTTTTAAAAATCCCAATTTATCAAGCTAGAATAAGTCTTATGAAAATTTATTTAAAAATAGACAAGTTGGCTTCTAGTTCTAGTGGAACAAAAATATAAATAGGCACATTCCACTTATTAATTTGCTTCAATCTCCAAAGATTCACTGAAGATTCATTTAAATTCTGAATAAGTTGAACCTGACCAAAATTACAGAAATTTCTATTAAAATCAATTCATGTTCTGAAAAATTCTTTGATACTGTAAATCAGTTTTTGTTTCAGACACTTTTTATTTTTGTGTAAGTAAGCACAGCCCTTGAAAATGTTTATACTCGAGTATACATGTACATGTATTAGTATCCCTAAGGGTGATATGTATTAGAAATCTGTTACAAAAGGGTATTACCATTAATATCAGGCACGTCTTCTGTTGTCTCAGTTCCCTCATCGCTGCCTTTTAAGTTCTCCGAATCCACTAAATATTGTAAAATTATCATTATTATGTTCCAATTAACTTGCTTAATGCAAGGAATTTTATATTTTTTACAGAAATTCTAATAAGAAGGAGGATAATGTACACAACAATAACTATGGGAATAAAAGTTGGTTTACAGTACCCCCTCTCATCAGAGTGGGAGTATAATAAATACCCATCTCTTAATCACCATCTGATAGCAGACCTACCTGTACATTTTTTCTGCAGAGCGGAATTTTCGGCCTGTAACCTTCTGACCTGGCTCTCCAGTTCAGCGAGGTCATTCTGTTTCCCAGAATCCTCTAGGGGTCGGTTCTCTTTCAAAGCTGTTATTTCTTTCTCGTAAGTCTCATTGGCATCTACAACCTGTACTCAATGAAATATGAAAAAATGTCTTCAATAAAATTAAAGGAAAAAGAATAAAACACAGAGCATGATATCAACTTCAAATGCTTTTTATTAATTTTTTTTTTTTTTTGAAGACTTTTTTAACCTTCTATATCTCATTTATTTACATAAAATTAAATAGTTAAGGAAAGAACATCTAGGATTTCACTAGTGAATCATGGATATCAAGTACTTTATATACACTAAGCAGTATCCTGTATATTCTGTGAAGTGGTTACATTTATCACAACTCTACATTTTTATGGTTTTGTGTTCATATGAGGATCAGTCACTCTGTCTCCAACCTATGTATTTTGTATAATATGTATGTTAAGGAAAGTTCATTCAACATTTCTCTTTCATTATCGAAAGGAAAAAATAAGAGGAGATATTTAAAATTTGTGATATTTCATGTTCACTGAATCCATTCTTGCAACTAATAAGGTTTCAACAGTGTTTTGGATACAAATGTCTAAGTTTATGATTTACAATTGCGACAGTTTAGAATTTGTATTTTACAAAATTTCCAAAATATTACATAATAGGATTTTGGGGGCTTTAAATCAATTACAGTAGAATTTTTACAACACCCCCTAGATCACTGTTTATCAATTATTTTTAATCAAAATAAACAATTTTTAGAAAGTTCCTAAATGTCTGTCCTATCTTGTGAGTGGTCCCTTATTGTAAAAATTTCCCAAATGTTGGTGTTACATGTATCTGTTCACTTGCCCTGGAGAGTTCCTAACACTGGTTCACTTACCTGTAACCATGTTAACACTATAGAGTTCCTACATGCCTTTCTAACTGGTTCACTTGACCATATTAACATTTGAGAGTTTCTAAATGCTAGCCTTAACTGGTTCACTTACTCTGGAGAGTTCCTGCATGTCAGTCTTAACTGGTTAACTTACCCTGTAGAGTACCTGCTTGAGAGTTGGGTTCACTTACCCAGGAGAGTTCCTGCATGAGAGTCTGGTTCACTTACCCTGTAGAGTTCCTGAATGAGAGTCTGGTTCACTTACCCTGGAGAGTTCCTGCTTGAGAGTCTGGTTCACTTACCCTGGAGAGTTCCTGCTTGAGAGTCTGGTTCACTTACCCTGGAGAGTTCCTGCATGAGAGTCTGGTTTTGGAGTCTGAACTCTTCTTCTTGGCTGTGGAGTTTTCTCTGGAGCTGGTCATTTTCTTGTATCAATAACTCAACCTCCTAATTAAAAAAAGTGAAAAAATGAATATCAATCAATTAGCTCTTCTCAAAAACAAACTCCCTTGATAGTTCTTTTTATAGGGTTAGCAAATTTAATTTGCTTCTTTTAGCATTAAACATGACAGTTCATGCAGTTTGAAGCTTTTTTTTTTTTAATAAAACAAAGCAACCAATAGAAAGTTATTATCTTACACAGAAAATCAAAGTACTCAGAAGTACAGAGAGCCGGGCTCATTTACAGAGTAGAATGGATTTCTTACATGAATCACGTTTATATTCTGATGAAAAAATTGTTTTAAAACTATCAATATAAATGATAAGACACTGACAGTGAGTTTTTCAATCCTAATAGCACGGTCCGCTTTTGTCAGAATCAGAATTAATCTGGTACCGCAGCTGAATGTAAACAAACAGGCCAGTCTGGTTCCCTCTCCTGCTTTACCTCGTATGTGTAGAGAACTACGGTAACACTGATTATCAAAAATCCTTACGCTAATGAACTACGTTCTTTGACTTATGAAGTTTTCAAATTCATTACTACTAATGTTTATTTTATATAGATAAAACTTCGTTTTATTTTTGTTGCTTTACTTAGCGTTTGTATTGTCTCAAAAGCGGTTGAGAGTAAGAACTATATTTTTGCACGTAACTTTAAAATGGCGACTATGGGGTCAACATCCTGCCTTGAACAGGATCACATAAGCCGGCAATTGCTCTTTGAGCAATAAGCCCGGCTAAAAAATGACCAAAAAAAAAACAAAAAAATAAAAGCAATGCCCATTTCCAAGTCATTTTTAATTGGTGACATTGTTTTTGATACAAATTGTTTTATTGTATATTTTAATCTTCCCAAGCATAAATCTGTGAGTTTTTGGCATCTTTTTTAAAAGAAATGAAGATTAATTATATCATATGGATGAAGTAGATATCATGTACTTATTTCTTTAACACTGCCTTTACAAACTTAACTGTAACTTGTAAAATATACTTATAATGGAGTGCCAGGGACTGATGATTTTGTTTTGTTATCAGCAAAAATTTGTTACTGTAGATTCCTAATTATACGCGTGGAATAAATTATCATGTAATTTCAAGAGAAGCATATCTCATGGAATAAAATTACTCGATTTTATTTTTATAGTGCTGAAATCCATGTAAATTCTCTTGATCAATCGTCCATTCGTGAATAATTATTCTCACGATTTGACGTTTAAGAGCTATTTCGTGATAATAAGTACTAGCGAGAAAAAAGGAATTTACCGTATAACCCCTAAATTAACAATTTTATTTTACAGTATTTTAATGCAAATGTTAATGAAAATCACTTTGTTATAAGCATGTTTGCTTTAAGCATGTTTTACTGTATACTGTAAACCAACTTTTATTTGTGACGATTTTATTTCGCGATTTATCTCAGATAAACTAATTCGTGATGATTAATTTTCGCTACCAAGCCTTTTTTTGATCTGTTGTTAATAGAAACCACGACTTTGCGGACCGATTCACGTCAAGAAATATTCGCGATGGCGAGACTCTCAAGAACCTCGCGAAAATTTCTTGCTCATGAATAAAAGTTGGTTTACAGTATACAATTCTGATCAGATGATAACCATAGAAGAAGAAGAGAAATCATATCACTCACCTTAGCTTTCTTACTTTTTTGAATAGCCTATAAAAATATTTAAAAATCACAAGTATGTATAAAATAAAATGAAATTTAATTACAGAATGTTTGCTAAAAAAGTTAAGCACATCTAGTCATTTAGTATATAATGATGCAGGTTAAAGTTTATAAACATTGGCCAAAATTTTAAATTATTTTGTTACCTTGTTTGCCTTCTGTAAATCCTTGTCTAAAGAGTCAATCTTTTCCCTCAGTGCAATCAATTCTGACATTGTAAGAAACAAAATTTCTGCATTTATTCACAAAAAGATATTTACACAGGGAATAAAGCTAACACATGGAATTCAAAACCTACAAATTTGAAAACTGGATTGCCATGAATACACTCGAAAGGACTACTGCCCATTCAGAGAAAAGGGAAAAAAAAGAAAATGTTAATAATTGCATACTTCAAGAAATATGCAAATTCCTTTGCATGCATGTATAGAAAGCACATAAAAATAAAATGTTAATCATTTCGTCTTTCAAATATCAGAATATGCAAATTACTTGCATTTACCAAAATACTTAAAGTTATGATAAAAATGATAAAACCAGGAGAATGTTTTAAGGATCTATAGTTTTAAATGTAGAACATACCTCTTTCTTGCTTTTTACATTGTCCATCAAGTTCATAATTTGTAGTTCTCAGCTCCAAAAGCTGCAGCTGTAATAGAAATGAATTTGACAGTTGGAGGAAATTCGGGACATTTCATTCTATTTCGTTTTGTGAGCAGTCACAAATGATTTGGAAGATAAACTGTTTAAATATTTAGCAAAATTAAGTGTTCTTCAACAAATAAGATGTGTATGTGTGTCATAAAATGCATATTTTACCTGCATTCGATGAAACTCATCTTCTGAGAGGGAGGAAGACATTGTTTTTCTTTACATCCTCTGACTTTATTGTAAAAACCCGAGAATCTGTTAGCTAGCTCGTTCTAAATGTTATTCACGTTCTTGTGGCCTATATAGCATATCCAGTTTCCTTAGGCAATCATTGCCGCGGTGAACATGAAAGACACAGTGAACTTTTCATTATGTTATAAAATAAAAATAAATAAATAATAATCATTAGTTGTGAAAAAAAGAAAGAATTAAAAAAAGAAAGGTAGGCCTAAAATAACACTCTCATACCATCGGCTCATACATTGTGTCTGAGAGAGAAACGAAGGACAACTCTGCATAGGAGATTGCTAAAAGAAAGCTTTTTCATAGTATTACACAATTTATTTTATAATTTTCTTTGCGCACTAATGTAAAAATAGTTATATCTAAAAAGAAGAAATGAGAAAGATTTATTCACGCCGGCAATTTGTGTTAAAAAGTTTCCCCGTACGTTCTACAGACACAAGGTGAAATGCATTGGTTCCTTTACATGTTTATATATCCCTTTCTCCTTTTTAATGCAACTTGTTACTACATGTTTTTAAGTTATGGCATCACCCTTTTTTGTTTGTCTATTTTTTTTGTCTCTGAATGTATTTTAATTTTCTAATCACTTTTGCCATGTACTAAATATGTGACCATGATTGCTTTCTGTTTTTGTCTGTCGTCATGCGTTGAATAACATTTTAACTACTAGCTGCAATAATGTAGCCCTCTCCCTTTTTTTTTTTTTTTTTTTTGGGAGAGGGCTACAACTCCTTAGGATCTTTCTAATGGCGCAGCTGCGGGAGTGATTTACTCCCGCACGGATTTCGGCTCAAATTAACAGTAAATGGCTATTTTATTAACATTTCTTACCTTGACTCCAAATAAGTAGTCATCCAAGACGTAAACCAATGCAAAAATATACAGAACGATCCCTATATCGCTTATTTTTCGTGTATGTCAACATCACAACTCGAATTTATCCGCCATGTTTACTGACCTTGATAGATTGTATTTTGGGACAGCCAATGAGAATTTGGGTTCTATAGGAGCGGATCTTTTTGGAATTCCCTTATTTTAAACATAAATATCGCTGCTTGCATAAAAATAACACTTAAAATGGTTTTATATACCTATGTTTTTGTGATGAAATTCAGCACATACATTTATAAATACAGATAATTGCTTTATTCAGTTGTTCTAAATTTCAAGCGAAAGTCTCATTACGTCATGCGTGAACTGTCATGGCTGCTGAAGTAAACTACCAGGAAACATGCAGAGTTATTTTACAAGTTTTTCGCATTTAACGGTGTCTACTGTTGACAGTGAATAAAAAATTCGTCTTATTAGAAGTAAGTTGAATGTAAAAATAATTTATTTTGCCTGCAGTCGCTCCTATTAAAAAAAAATATTTGCACCATTACAGAGATGCGATGGAATTGTAGCCCTCTCCAGAAAACATCAGATTAAAAAAAATCGGAGAGGGCTACATTATTGCAGCTATTTAACTACATTTTCAACCTCCGATGTTTTGGAGGTCCGTGTTTGTTCTGCTCCATTTTTTTATCAATAGGATAAAAAAAATTAAAGAAGGAACATACTAAAGACCTGATATTTTTTTCTTTCAATGCCCATGTTATGATTTTGCCAGGAACTCTTTAATTACATACATGAATGACCGTGACATACCAAGAGATGTCAATATTGTATTATCAGGTTATGACTGTCTACCTCTTACAGAAAATATGTTATTCTTTGACCAAGTTCATAATTTTAGAAAAAACACTAAAAGATTTTAGAATTAGAAAATATATTAAATAATGTGCAGCATGTCTTTCAATCTTGACCTTTAGGTTGAAAGTATATACACATAAACATTCAAGTATGGGTCTGAGCCTTCCTCTCCATATTCTTATTACTTAATTTTTTTGTTTGTTTGTTTTTTTTCCATCATTTTTTTTAAATTTATTTTATTGTTTTCTTTACGTATTTTTCACCTCAATTTTTCTTCAATTATGTATTCTTTATAATTCTCTCAATATTAATTTATAATACATGTTTTGTGGAACTTAAAATATGTACAGTAATTTAATTGTACCTTGATCTCAAATGGAGAGAACTAATATAGGCCCTTGGCCTGATGTTCAATCCATATTCATATTGTACAGTTTGTATATTATGAATAAAATATTTCTTAATCTTAAAGACCTGATCATATACTAAAGACCTGATATTTTGACCTGATAAAAAAATATCACATAAAATTATCAATTTAAACATTCTGTATCAAATTTTTGGGAGATAATTATTGATGATACTATACTATAATACACTTTTAGTAAATTAATTAACAGTGAGAATTTTTTTTGTATCATTAGGTGTTCTTACAAACACTTGTTGACCTGATATTTTTTATTGACCTGATATTTTTAAATGAAGTGATGGGTTTAAATGACCTGATTTATTCTCATAGTTTATTTTTAGGAAAATAAAGCAGATTTCAATGTTAAACTTCAAAAAATTTGAATATTTTCAGCAATTCCATTTCATTTCAAAATATCAGGTCTGTAAAGTAAAAAAATATCAGGTCATCAAGTTTTGTGAATATACCTTAATACATAGCAAAAAATCTACTTAATATCCACTAAAAGTGTATTTTTGTATAGTATTAATTACTATCATTAATATTTTTGCCCCAGAAATATGAAAAGTAATGTTTAAATTGTAATTTATAAAAAATATTTTTTCATCAGGTCAAATATCAGGTCTTTAGTATATCAGGTCTTTAGTACGTTCCTTTAAAGAACTTTAAGACTGAATGTTGTTTTTTAATTACATATAATTTATTTCAGCTTCTTCTCTGGAATCACTGAACCATTTAACAAATTTTGATAAAAAGCATGAAATGTATGGAGATAACGAACAGTATTCAAGCTCGAAAGTCCCTTAAACAATACAAAATTGGAGCAGAGAAAACACTGACAGACCTAAAAAAAAAAATGGGTGGGATCACAAGCACTTGTTTCGGAAATAAATGTTTTACCCATAGTATAATAACATCACGTTATTATATACTTAAAAATTTATTTCTAAAACGTGCCTGTGGATGGAATCATGTGCCATGAAGGAGTGAGCATCCCCTGCTGACTGATCACATCCGCCCTGTGCTCCATGTCATGATTAAGAAATAACGGAAAAATCTGTCGACAATTCAGTGTCTAAATAATGGACTAACAATTAGTATGAAAAACGTTGTCTGTCAATAATTACCCCGTTCAAGAAATTGTTCATACAACTGTACGTAGAGCATGCTCATTGTGTATCGAATCTACTGAGCGATATAAACCCCGGCTCGTATGCAGGTGACGAAGGATAAGTAAGGGGAGTTGACGATTGAAAAGTTCAAGTCCATTACGCTTATTTCATAAAACTTTGTTGTTAAATACATGTAACCAATAATGTCTTTCTTATTCTGGTAAAAAAAAAATGCAAATATGCATGTGAAACAGATGAGTAATACTCTGAGGTAATATGCTGTTGATTTGGTAAAATTTTGTGATTTCAAATGTTCCACAAGTTCCTTGGATTTTTTTAGTATCCACATCTGATTTACACCACTTCTCGAATATATTTTTGAACAAACGATTCTTTTTCATAAGAGTACTTGAATATTATTGTCCCTGAATCAGGGTTTGAAGTATTAATGCTGGGCTCTATTGATCTTAAAATAAAAAGCCATAGTTTCTGTGAAAAATATTTAAGGAATAACTGTCTTATTTTTCGGATTCATGAAGTGATCAATGGATTGGCTTGTGTGATAATTTGCATTAACGCCGAAGGCGTTTATGCATAAAATTATTACACAAGCCAATCCATTGATCATCTTCATGAATTCGAAAAATCTGACAGTTATTCCTTATATTTACATGCTTTGATTCTGCCAATCCACGGGCTCCGCCTGCTTCTCTCTAGGTGTTGTCCCGCCCTACACGTGGTTTTTTTTGGAACCGCGCCAAGACATTCATGAGGAAATAAATTACATTTACAATTGTTAATTTTATCTCGGACAAAGACATTGGAAATGTAAATATTCCTTGGTATAAGTCAATTCACTACGTATATGACTTGAGGAGAGGAAGGGTTTCTCTATTTCAGAATTGTGATATTCAAGGTCCCTGGCTCAGGGGTTATGGTGATAGGCTGGATAATTTTTAATTATTTAGAGAAATTTTCATTAATTCATTGTGTGATTATCGTGGTCCTTAATTTATGGACTTTTGAGGTTAAATACTGTTCGTTAAATCCATATATTTCATGGTAAAGTATGTTTTTCTTATTGTAAAAAAGTAAAAATGCATGATTTCTTCGAAAAAAATGTTCTTAAATTCTCTGGATACTCCCAGGAAATTAGCAAATAAGAACATGAGCACTGCGCACGGTTGGGGAGAATTTCTCCGCTTTCCAGCATTAATCAATCATGAAATCAATTACCTTTCACTCCACAATTTTACACAAATTCTGAACCAATCTGTATATTCAATTTCCGCCAACCTCTCATACTTGTCTCCACAAACCAATAAACTCACTTGTTTTGATTTTTGTCGGATGGCAGAAAATTCAAAACAAGCGAGTCTTTTGGTCTTATGTAGACGACTGTAAAGGGTCGGAAGGTTGATAAAATAGATTGGTTTAAAAGTTTATTTAGAATAAAGGAGTGGAAATTAATTGATTGACCAATGCTGGAAAGTGGAAAAAATTCTCCCCAATCTTGCGGAGAAAACCTTGCACCGTAAATGACAAAGAACTACGAACTCTAACTCTTGATTCCCGCCTACATTTTGCAGCCATTAAATTCAATATTAATGTCAATTTGGCCATTAAATCTTTGTTTAATACAAAGAACAGTTCTATGGTAATTGATTAATCATTTTAATTCCAGCGCTAGATTGTAAATTATCATTAATTCCAGCTCTTGAAAAAAGGGGGGTAGTCGATATTTTCTAGTGAAATCGAACTTTCAAGAATTACCATATTTTGAAATAGTCTTAAATATAATAAAATGTATCTCATATCTTTTCTTATGTTTTACGTAAATAAATAAAACATATAAATTAATAAAAA